AAATGCCACACCTCTATCTATTCATCTGTTGATGGACATTTATGTTGCTTTCTTTTGCTCATTTTTACATTTACCACCTAAATCCCTAAGTATCATGTTTTCTGTTTTTTGCTGATTTGTATACTATGTCTGATGGCATCCCATTGAATATTTCTTTGTGTCTTGCTTCTTTCAGAGAAAGATTAACCCAAGTGCATTGCAGGTAACATTTGATCTTTCATTTTCGCTGCCCTGTAGGTTATTTTTCAGTTAAATTCATTTTAGAGACACTTGTGATATTTCTCATTGTAAATAATACAAACATTGCTGCTGAAACTGATTTTGCAAAGGTGGATATGTGTAAAAGTCACAATTAAGGTGGAATGGCTGGGTTGGAGGATCTGCATATGTTCAGTACAAAAATATTTCAGACAAAATAAGATTGCATGATTCCATCTATATGGAATTTCCAGAAAAAGCAAATCTTTAGAGACAGAAAACTGATCAGTGTTTGCATGGAGTTGGAGGTGGGACAGGAAATTGACTGCAAGCTGGCAAGATGGAACTTTGGGGGATCATGGGAATGATCTAAAACTGGAATATAGTGATGATTGCACAATTCTGTAAATCTGTGAAAAATCATTGAATTGTACACTGCCGATGGGTGGATTTTACTGTCTGTTAAGTCGCACTTTAATGAATCTGTGGAGGAAGAAATGAGGCAAGGAGAGAAATATATATATATATATATAAATATATTTAAATATATATAAATATATAAAAATATATTTAAATATATATAAATATATATATATTATATATATATATATATCTCACAGTTTCTTTTGGGAGCCTGCAGCTGTGTGGCACCCAAAAGCTCTGCTAAGTTCAGCTTTTGGCGTTTGGGGACGACCTGGGACCAAGAGACCCACCCTGTGGGTGAGAAGACTCCAGCTTGGCCCTTTCGCCCTCGGCCCCGCAGACTGCGTTTCCCAGATGCTCTGCTTTGTCCTAGAATCTGGGTGTGTTCAGGCTCCTCCCCACTAGCCCCAGACCATGCAGGGGAAACTGGGTCCACTCGCAACTCGAGGGAGCGCTGTGCAGAGGAAAAGGACCCTGGCTGGGAGTGAGAATCCCTGGACTCAAAGTGGGGGTGGAAAATGTGACTTTGGGGGTTCCCTCCTCCACCCCATGCCCTGATCTCAGTTCCTGCATCTGTAAAATGCGAATTTTAAACACTTGGTTTAACAAACTTATCAGGCCTTTTTTATTTACAAATCTAACTCATTTAATGCTCACGACAACCCTATGAAGTGGGTGATATTTGTCTCATTTTATAGCAGGGGAAACAGGCACAGAGAAGCTAAGTAAGCTGCCTGAGCTCACACAGCCGGCAGGACTCGCCCAGCGTTGTCTCGAAGCAGACTAGGTGGGGAGGACTCTTTGTACTGGCTGGGTCGTGAATTTGGCATCTTGTCTGTCCTCCCCCTCCAGGATGTGAGCTTCTTCCTGCGCACAGAGGCGTTTAATAAATATTGTGGAACGAAGGGGGGATGCCTGGATATCTGAAGATGGCCAGATCCCTTCTTGACTGCCTGAGCCCTCCTGCTGCGCTCTGCTAAGGGAGCTCTATTCCTGGTTGAGGCTTATAGTTTCAGTAAACTGGATCCTCGGGGCGAGAGGGAACCCGAAGGAAATCCCGGGCTTGCGCCTTCCGAGTAGAAGAGACAGAACCCACTTACGGCGGGGCACTGGCGCCACCTGGCGGCGGAGTCCTGCTAAGACAGAGCCGCCGGGAGACCGGGAACGTTTGCTTTGTCGGGCGAAGTGGAATCTGCATCAGAAAGGGAGCTGATATCGGGTGTATTAATGGGCAGTTGTCTGAATCACTGCCGTCTACCAGTGGCTTCCAAACTTTTCCGACCATGATGCACAGCAAGAAATCATTTCACATCCACATAGTTTCACAAAATACCACCCTGTACTGCATGATGTTTTTTATTCTACTTTATTCCTGTTTGTAAGTGTTGGTGGGGTCCCTTAAATTGACTTCCTGACTCTCTAATGAATCTTCGCTGATACTCTAGGATAGTGTTTTCCAGTGTCCTAGAGTATGTCCTTTTATTTTTTTCAGCTGAGACAGATTACGATGGAGAAAGAGTTAGCACCAGACCACACCCCCAGTGATGCTTCTCTACCACGTTGTGCAGCCTCCAGGATTTTCCCCCAGCTCTGACTTCAAGACGAACTGGGCTCAGAGAGGTGAAGGCACTTGTCCAAAGCCACACAGGTTGTATGTGATAGTCCCAATTTCTGCCTCACTCTTGAAGGAGAAAAATCACTAAATGCTCCAAATTGCATTGCTTTTGAGTACAATTTCATTTAGTCCTTCCTCCATTTTGCCAGTAAGATTGAGCTACACTGGTCTGCTGTTTTCTTATATTGTTTAATGTAAATTACATTCCCAAGCTCAGGCTTGAAAATGCAAGCCTTCCTGTGTAACAAAATGAACCTGAGATGGCAATAATGCGTCTGTGCTGAGGTGACAATCAGTTGCACTGCCAGCATTATTACCAAAAACTGTCAGCATCATTCACCACCACCATCACCATCATCACCATCACCATCACTTACCACCATCA